AGCATATTCCATCTAGAGAGAGACTGGAACAACAGATCCTTCTTTGGCTGACAGACAAAGCAAAGTTCTGTGAGATGAGAATGAGGTGGCACAAATACTTTTCTTCACCTCTCCCACCACTTCTTTCATTGAGTCATATCCCACCAAGATCACTACATACCATCAAGATCAGAACAAATCTCACTGTTAGAATCATTTTAACAACATCCAACTATACTGCAAGCAAATGCATACTCTGAAGAGCCTTTAAAGTGTTTCAAAACTTTCACTGATGGAATACTTACATTGACACCTCATGGCAACTGTAATATCAATATTGATTCTTAACTTACTGGAAAGAAAAAAAAGGCAAAGAGCTAATAAGTAACATTGAGTACAAGTATCAAGAGATATATTACTAAAATTCTCAGATTACTTGCAGACATACATACAAAACCCCAAAAATTTACACCAATAAATATAAACTTAAGCTGGTTAAAATTTGGGTGAACCAAGATGGACTTTTAATTATTAAAGCACTGATGACCACTCCTAACTTAAGAGATAAAAGCATTAGATCTCTCTGCTGGCCCAAGAGTTAGTCAGACTCTTCTTTAGAATATATAGTTGGCAATATTTTACACATCTTTTTTTTTTTTCCCCCCCACACAACTACAACAGTGCAATAAATTCCACAGAATAAAGTGGATCAGAACAATGTAGAAGTTACAAATCTAAAATGGAGTAAATATACGAGCACCTTCCTCCTATTTTGTCCTTAAGACAGGCCATTGTACTTATTGTACTTCCAATTCTAATCAGGATTCCTCAGGACAGTGACATTCAGGATCAGGCTGAGAAGTTACTAAAACCAGGTCCCAGAAAATGCTGCCATGTCATAAGGATCGTTGGTTTTGCTAGCACTGCTTCCAGAAAAAGCTCTTTTCTCAGAAATGCTCCCATATTATAATAGCAAAATGCCTTGTATGTTAAGATCCCAAATGTTTCCATCACAAGGGGAGGTGAAACATAATTCTTCCCATCAGGGGAAAAAAAAAAAAAAAAACAAACCCCCAAAAAACTATCACACCAGAAGTCTGATTGTGTGGCATTCACCAATATTCTGGGTGTTTCCTATAGCTTTTCATATTAGTTTCATGGACGTGATTTAAACTATAATGAATAACTCCCCTCACTATAGTCATATAGTCCTATCACTTCCAGGGAGCTTCTTCTGGGAACTTAGCTGCCCACAAACAAATCACATGAGCAAGGGATTCAACACTGGCTCGCCTTGGGCTCAGACATGGGCAGTTAGACAGGAGAAAAGCAGTTAAAGTGATACCAATCTCCATTGGTTTAAATTGTCACAGAACTGCAGGCTGAGTGATTAGCCCACAATCAGACTGGAAAATCTGCAGCAGCACATCTCCCAAATCCCATTAATAGTCTCTTAACCACTACCTTACCCTTCCTGTGATGGCTTCACGAGGGAAATAACCCACTTTAGCAAAGACCTAAATGTGAAACTCCCATCTATCTGAATGCATTTACCCTAACTTCAGTATTTGATGCATATCCCTTAAATTTCTCTTTTTATTTTTTCATTACAGAAACCTTTGGTATTTCTGACATACAAGACACAAAATTAATATATCTAACTTCAGCTTGTTACCACAGCAACTAGTCAAACAGCTTTTAAAGTTATTTCAGTTCCAGACACATGATATTTAAAGGTGTTCAGTGCACAAAATCTCCATTTAACATCACATAGACTCATGGGTGCCTGACCACCTCAGGAAGAAAGGCGAACGCAGCCCAGACAAGCACATGAAACCAACAGCAAACACATCTTCTGCCGATCTTGGAGGCCGTAACTGGAGACAAGATCAGTAGCAATCTCCAGATAACGTAGTCAAAGTTCGGAGTGCTTAAGGTTCACCTCCAGCAGCGCAAAGTATAATGGCAATATACTAACTGTATAAACTAGAGAAAGCATCATGTGAATCTGGTGGATTTATATAGCTGATGCAGAGTTATATATTACAATGTCTTCTAAATTGTTAGCAAGTAATTCCTCAGGGGACTCCATCAAAAAACCTACACTATTTTGACTTCTTCGTTGACAAAAACCTTAATTTCTCTTCTTCATAGATTCCATAAAAGAAAAACCTCAAATCAATCAACAGAAGAAAAATCAAAGCCCTTTAATATTTTATTTTCAATTTCAATCATAAATTGCTTGAAAGTCACACGAACATTTTCAATCTATTCTGTCCTGAAATGCAGACAACTTGAATTTTAGAAGGAATTATAATCAATAAAAATTACCTAGTAAAATCCTTGTCTACTTCATATTCGTATTTCATCCATGTGTCCCGGTACACTGTGAACTCCATTATAGTCAGGAAAGCTATCGTTGTAAATGCTATCAGAGAAACTGAGTGGTCAAAAAAAAAAAAAAAAAAAAAAAAAAAAAAAAAAAAAAAAAAAAAAAAAAAGTTTAAATTGCAAGAAATATATTCAGAAAAACAAGCAGAAGAAAATTCTAACATTCCAGAATCTGAGCATTACCAGTGCAATATTGGTATCTTTGATTTGTAAATCCACAAGCTGCTCTTAGAAAAATGTTTTTCTGTCTACAGTATTTGCTTTTACCTAGGAGGGAAAAGGAACAAGTCCTACCTTTGCATCAAGAAAGAACTTTTTACATTAAGTACTGTCAAATACTAGAATGATGGGAAGGTTGTGAAATCCCTGTATGGAAGATGTAAGAACAGGCCAGATCCTCCTCCTCGTATAAAACAAAACGTCCACAAATCACTGCCAGGGACGGTCTAGGCAAACTCAATCCTAAATTCAAGCATGAAGGAAGGAGAAGGTGTACCTTGAAGTGCCTTCAAGCCTCCACTTGTCTACAACCTAAGTTGTTATAACAATTTTTTTATATCTAGTTTTAGAGCCAAGAAGCTAGCAGACAAAAGAAAGAATATGCACTTATATACACCGTCCAGACACAAAAAGGTGCCTCGATTATATTACTCGTGTATAGCTGCACAGTCAGGACTCCCACCCCAATATTTCAAACAATTCTCCCTCTGGCGATAAGCAACGTGCAGCTATCCATTCTACCAACAGCTAAAATAAGTGAAGAACTGATTTGAAATTATTTTTAGGAAGAAAACTAGTTGGTATATTTTAGTGGTATATGTGCCTCACTTAATTCCAAAGCAGCCTATTCATCACACTCGCAAAGCTGTACAATGCAAAGGTGAGCTTGTCCTGCCACACGTATTCAGAAGTATAGTAACAGATGTACAGAAGCACCTGCTACGCCCCTTTTATTAAATCATGGCTTTTGTTAAGTTGAAAAAAAAAGTCAGTTGTGGAGCACATTATTGACAATATAGATTTTCCACCTGCATTCTGTGGAGTATTTCTATGGAGTCTGTGAAGGGCAACTTGAAAAAAAACAAGCCTATCAACAACAGGCTTCAATTCACTACACAGTGGTCTACAGCCCAGAGGTGGCATCGGGGACATAAAGGCCCTCTCTTACAGGATCAGGAAGAAACATTGGCTGCAGCATTGACTGCTACATTGATCAGCAACATTTCCAATTCTAGCTTTCAACTGCATCTGTGTAACGATCATATACATGAAAACCTTCATGCCAATGCACACTGTGAAAGCAGACGCACACATCAGTTAATTATTCTGGCTATCAATTTGCTTCTGGAGCCCAGTAGGCCAGACTCACCCCAGCTATGCAATATGAAAGCTAGAGCCATACTGTCTCTCCAAACACGAGGAAACAATTAGAGCTGTAGCTGCTTTCTAGATAATTCTGAGCAAAAGTATTTGTGGATCTGATCAGGAAAATAATGTCTTGTAGAATTTCCAAAGACAGATCCCCTTTTCTGAAGGCTCTCCAGCCCCAGACCTGGAGTCTCAGCCCGTTTGAGCAACTGGTACTTCTTCTGCAATGGGTTTTAAGGCACTGAAAAGTGTGAGAATAGTCTTGGTATGTGTTGCATCCCTATCACACCAGAAAGTAAGCCTGGCACTTTAATCCTGAAGGAAACAGGAATACTGTATTTTATAATGGCATAGAGTAAGACAATCCTATACTGTCATTTATAAGGTTACTGGGATAAACCAAAGAATGCTACAGTAACTTTTGGTGTTGAGAAATCCTCAAGGTACCCTTTACCAAAGTGAAGTCCTCATGAAGGATAGCGCTATACTACAAAAAAGGAGTTTTTAAGCATTTATTGTTTTTCTAAGAATTACTATGTAAAAACAACTCACTTGCTTTCTCAGGAACTGGAACTAACATTAACAAAGAGTTATTTAATCAGCCCTTAGAGATTATTTCATATACAGTAATCCTTTAATTATTAACATTGCGATTCAGGAAACACAGCAAAGTAACACAGATCCTTGTGATATTTACTTCTACACAAGTGGCGTAATGACTTCAAAGGCTTATCTGTAGATTGCAGTTGCTTCTTGTACTTTTTATTCAACTGAGTTTCAGACATAATCGCACACAAGTGAGATTTTTGTACTCTATTTCAAGCTAACTGCTAGCAGTTTCCTATCTAACTGCAAACAATTCCAATAGCCCAAGAGATGAAGTTGCTATTTCCGGATCAGGCTACCTCTAACCCAACCCAACTTACAGGCATAATTTTCTGTTCAGATACACAGAGAAAAGGTACTTCTTACAGCTACAGCTTTTCGAGAGAAGCTCCAGTGACTAACAAGGACAGTACAAGCACATGTCCTGGAGTAAAGTGTTTGGTTCTTCAAAGGGCTTTCATTACTCTTAAAATCAACTACACCTTAAAGACAAAAAGCTTTAGAAAGCTGCTCTTCATCCTGATGCTTCATTTAGCCAGCTCTTAGACACCTCTGGAGAATGTTTTCCTCTTTTATGAAAGCACAGAGCTGAACCCAACCTGCATTTCAGCTCATGCTGACACAGTCTCACCCAGAAACCTGACAGAGAAACTGGCTTAGTGAGACAATTGAGAAAGTTTCATTACGGCCTTGGCACAGGTGCACTTCCAGTTGTAATCAGCTGGAATTTTTTACAGTGAACCCTTACCTGGGTGTGAGCCTCAGCAGTTTTACACAAAAATCTCCCTTGAGATGAGTGATGAATGCATCTACTTGGATAAGACACTATGTCTTTACTTGAAGGAGATGAGCTCTGTCAGTCCACAAAAGAAATCAAGAAACCAATTTTGTCTAGTTTCAAATGAACACAGATGCTGGTCTTCCTCCTATTGAACTTTCTGTTCCCAGAGCATGCTAGACTGAGCTAACAGCCAACGTGAATCATGTCAGCATCTCAGTAAGGCCTACCTGTGCCTCCGCTCGCTGAAGTCTCCACATAGCTTTCAGGAACCTTTGGAAAGGCATCCAATTCTTTCATCAAATTCAAGGTCTTCTTCCGATTCAGTCGCCTCATCTTCAGCACACTCCTCCACTTCCTCCTTCATATATTCCCTCTGATTTGAGAATAAATCGTTGCGATTAAAAGACACAAGCAATATTGCTCAAACTGACTGGCTATAATTGTAAAGCAAGACTAAAGTAATTAAAATCTAAGAAATATGTTTTCAAGAAACACATGCTAGACAACTGATGGTCACTCTTGCTTCAGGAAAACTGTTAAAAATTGGCCTGGACACTGCTGATTACATTCCAGCTGCATCCAGCGCATTCACCATTTAATTACTATGACTAATTTCTTTCTCAATTAAATTCTTATTGGTATCGGATATATTGAATTTTCAATTAAAAAAACCAAACTCAGTCCTGAAGTAAGCTTGCTAAACAGACCTGACAATGCATGGAAGTCACTGACTTAGCAGGGAATATCTAACAGGCTGCATATATTCGGGAGGATGTCAAACTGCTCTGGGCTCCTATATTCAGCCAATGTGGGCACACAATAGATGCTAAAGGGGAAAAAAAAAAGTGCATTTCACATTTTTACAGCTGTACAATTTGAGAGTCATAATAAAATTAGCATTTTTTCCCTCTATAAAAATGCCCCGCAAAGCAAATTAAGTATCAAATCCTAACTCCATCCTTCAGAATCCTTTTTGTCCATGACATGATCTCTGCTTCGCTTGGAGTCGTTGATACGTTAAGCAGCAGGACGCCGAGAGAAGCAGCCTGCCCAAGAAATACTGTCTTAAACTGTTTCCAAATCATGGAAGTACACTCACAACCCAGTCCTGCCAATACGCTGCATGTTTTAACAAGTTGGCGCTGCTGTTCTCCTCCTGAGGAAATGCTGCACTTTGCCCAGAATTTCTGAAGCTATGAAAACCATCTTGCATTTACCGTATTTTGAGAATGTGTCATATTATCATCCCCTATTTAAAGACGCCAAGGCAGGCAAGCTAACCTACACTGCCAACATGTGAGACAGTCCTCATCATCATCTCGTAGAAAAATCTGTTAACTCATCTCCCCTGCGTCAAGAGCACATCAAGTCTCCAGCGTGTCCTAGTGAAATTACTCAAGAGCTATTCCCTGCTCTGCCCCTGCCTGGTGCCGAGCAGGCTTCGTACTGTGCAATAACAGAGGAATAGGCTTTACTGGAAACGGAAGTTCACATGTGAAGAACCAAGATCTATGCCTGCAATTTCCTCACTACACAATTTCGCTTCAGACCTTAGTGAGAAGATACAGACTCTGCACTTGGCAGGAGCATCAGTCAAGTCAGCCTGCAGAGACCAACAAAATGATACTGTGTGTGTTGCAGAGGATTCAAAGAAGCCACAGTTAAAGTCAGCTGAGAAGATAGGTGCTGGAACAGAATTTCAGTTATACGGGGCGGGGTGTGTGTGTGTGTGTAAATCGGGGAAGCAAGATTACTATTAACCTTATTACACTACATAACTGTTTTAAAGAATTACCTCAACTCCACTCAGAGTAGCGTAAGGAAAAGCTGGAAAACTTAGGAGCACAGATATGGCAAAGCAGCTGCTTGGCCACAATGACGGGAGCCGTAACGTTCATTAGCACAGAGGAAACACGGGACAGGGCTGCCCGCTGCCCTACACAGACAGCACTGAAGTCAACTTCATTCTCTCCGTATCTTGCCTGCTACCACATGTAAAGAGGTACAAGATAAACCTGGAGAATTTGAGAGCACTTTACTAAAAGACTTCCTAAATCATCCTGCACCAGTTTGCAACCAATTTGTTCATTCGTTCCTTTAATCCCACATAAACATACTCACTTTCCATTACAAACCAAAACGGACATCTGATTCCTGCCCTCGCCCCCATCTCAACACACGTACCTCAGAAACAACACCAAGTATAAAATTTGGAATTCATTGCTACGAAAGTAACATCTTATGAATCCAAGAGCTAACTGCGTTGAAAAAAAACCTATTAGTACAAGCCAAAAAAAGGGAACAGCGTAGCGCAAACACCACCCTAGACCAGAGCGCCTGCTGGAAGCGACCCGCAACCCAGACCCACCTCAGGGGCTCGGGCAGTTTTGGCGTGCTCGGACAACTTGGGAGCGAAGCCGTGACCGGCGCCGGTGCGCGCCTGAACATGCGCACCCGCG